ACGATATGAAGCAAACAAAAGTTACTGAATTCAAATATCAAGTCAAGAAAACACACATGTATTTTAAAATTTCCAAGGGATCTGTGATTGGAAATCCCATTGTTGTTGTTGGTACCCCTCTTGTTGTCCGTTAGCATTTGGACTTGTACTCATCTGTCTTTCATCGGTCGGTCCTTTTTTCCATTGATTAACAGTTTGGCATTGTTGTTGAGGTTGTTGCCCCTGTTGTTGTCCTTGCTGTTGCTGAGGGTATTGGATTTGCATGAAAGCGCCTTGGTTATCTGGGGAGACTGGTGCCTGAGAGTTGTTTTGTTGACTAGTTTGTGACATTCCCGACGAACCGAACACCAAGTTCCCATAGTTGAGTGATGGCATGACGACTTCGCTGAGTCGATATAACTTGACGTCCATAGCGTCTTCTCTGATTTTCATTTGGTAGAGCATTTCCTTCAAGCTGTTAATTTGTTGTTGAGTGTCGACTGTTTGTTTTTGGAGTTGCATTAATTGAGTTAACAAGTATTGATAGACGGACGATTGGTCTTCATTGGGTTGGCTTTGTTGGGGTTGTTTCTTCTTTTGAGTCGACGGCTTTTTTCTTTGGATATTAGGGAGTAACTCGGGGTGGTCTGCAATGAAGCTTTCATGTCTGAAACAAAACCCGCTTTGTGTTTCCAGCTATGTATGAATATCTCTTCGATGACTTTTACTCTTGAAAGTTTTTAGATAGTGGCAACAAACCTTTCTGAATCCATAGATGTTTAATTGACGCACAAACGAGCAGATGTTCGAGTGTTTAAAAAACTTCGGTAAGATGACTTTCGAGAACTCGACGGGGTCCGGGATGATGATCGCTTTCTTATTAAATTCTTCTGACCAACAGATCTATCAATGAATTCCGCACGTGGCATACAACACTTCTATAATATTAAATTATATTTTATAGAACAACAAACGTATGTGGACGTTTCGTGGTTGTTTACTAATTCATACAATTTGGATATAAAAGCTACTACAGAAGTCCCTGGTGGTGGTAATTCTACAGACGATTCTTGTTCAATCGGCGTTTTATCAACAGGAATCCCAGCTATAGTCGCTTCGGGGATACACCCAATTTTCTCAGTTCTCACTTCAGACATGTTCTTTTGCATTTTGAGTTTCATGGTCAACTCCCGCTTTTATTTGGCAGAAAACTTCAAACTTCTTCGTGTTAGGAAGTTTTCCCTTCACCAAAGCCTTTTCCTTAACTATTTTCTTACTCCTTTTTATCCACTTTTTTCTTTATTTGTTTATTCTATTAGTAGTATTTATTAATATAATTTTTCAACATCTTTTTTCAAAAGTATACAAAATATATCAATATAATTTCTATACCATTTAATTACTATTAATTTCGTTTAATTAAACCAACGCTATAAATATTCTTTTCAAAAACCTCAACCTCTTTTTTAAAATGAAAGATTTTTTTTTGTGATAATTTCGAGCTTTAACTTTGTGATTAAACATCAATCTTTTTTTTCTGTAATATCATTTCGGTGTAACTCACACTCAGCTGAGTTTCTTCATATGATACACCAACACTCATCAATAAAAACAATTTTAATTATTTGTAATCTTTTTTTGTGAAAACCAATCTTTACAACAAATGCTATAAAATACTATAACATATCATTTATCAGCACACAAAAATAGAGCATACAACAGTTCTAGACAAAATGCTCTATTTTTGCAAAAAAGAGAAAACAAACAAAATGACAATCACCCTTCACTTCCATCCGCTTGGGGACGCAACACCCTAAGCCAAAGTCTTCTCTTCATCAGTTATAGTCGCATTTTTCTCCTTGTCCACGTCCTCCTCTATCTTCAAATCGTCGCAGTTTTCAGCAGAGAAGTTTTTGAATTTTGCGAGGTAGACAACAACACCGAAGAAAATGCCAAAAGCTGTACCCCCCAGAATATCCGAGAAGTTGTGATGGTAGTCTCTTGTCCTGCTAATTGCGACAACCGACGCAATGATCCACGGCATAATGAAAAGTAATAATTTCCATGATGCGTGGCTTCGGCCAAAGATTTTGATTTGACCCGCAACGAAACACGCTGTGAATGACATACCCTTCTTATTATTTCATTTTGTGTTGACAGCGGGTATTATTTCAATTGTGCCAAACAAACATTAAAAATTGTGGAGCTGTGCCCTGACGGAAAGCTCTTATAAACATCGTCAATTTGGTCCGAATTTTCTTCGAGTCTCGCGTAAAAGTGTGGTCGTGGTCTTCCAGCGAATATTTTTGCCCAGTTAGTGAGCGAGAGGCACGATAATGCCGCAAGGAGCAGTGTGAGTGCCGAGAAGACCAAAAATAAAAGAGACTTCTTTTTGACCGAAAAAATGATGATTAAAAGTGCGGGCGGCAAGTAGGCGAGTAAACAACAGGCATAAGTTGGCACAGATGAGTGTACATATGGGTACATCATGTTTACGTTTTGCGACCCGTCGGGTATTTCCATATGAAATGGGTGGATGAACATTGGCACAATACACAAAACAATTAACACAACGTTTATAATAAAGTCCTCGATAAATCCAATCACAACAACCTTGTGAGCGAATTGGGATTTCAGGAATTCTTTAATACCTACCATGATCTTTTGGGGTTTTTAGTTTTCCCTCTTATGACTGTTCTTTCCATTAATTCCAATCCCGTCCGTCATATCTCTTGTGTGATTTGATTTTTTTTTTGGACAAATAATCATTTTAATTGGTTTTTACTATTAAATGTATATCAAAACTTTATCCATAATAAATGAACTTTGAGTGGTATTTGTATATTTTTATTATTTCTTTATTATATTATTTTTTCTATAATATTTTTTATTTTAAAATTACTTAAATTATATTAATAAATTATAGATTAAATAATATTCAAACAAATATTTTTTAATAATTTGGTAAATAGTTGAATTTTTTATTGATTCTAATTTCAAAATATAATCAAAATAACTATAGACAATAATAAAAAGTCAGTTGATAAAATAATCAACTTCAAATTTTTTTTATTAAATTATATATTATTATATTTAAATTATACAAATAATAAACTATCAAGAATAATATATAATTGATATTAAATAAAAATTAAAATAGAAATATTTTTTTTAATTAAAAAAGTTTTATAATAAAACAATAATAAATAAAATGTAATTCAATCAATATAAAAAAACAGAAGAAAATAGAAAAACATTTTTAATAAAAAAAGTTTGGCATTCCAATTCTTAAAATAAAATGATTTGCAAAAAAAAAATATGGTAATAATAAATTTATTTTACTAAACTATTTTATTATATATGTATTACTATAATAAATTTAATTATTGAATTATAATTAAAATAAGATGTTTAAAAAAAAATTTGAAAAAATTATTAAAATATAAAATAATTATAAGTGTCAATTAACTAGTATGTTTATTAATATAATATAGTAAATATATAAATCAAGAAATATATAAATAGAATTACAAGAATTTAACACCAATCAAAAAAAAACACATGACAAATGTTTTAGTTTTTTTTCTAATTTAAACGAAAACTCGATTTACCAAGACGATGAAGAATCACAATACTTCACCAAATACGCGACAAACCCTAAACCACCCCAAAACGCCTTCTCATCGAAATGAGATTCCAATTGTCCAAAACACTTTTTTGATTTCGTTGTTGAATCTAACCCACAAAATTACTCTTTTTCAGTCTTCAAAACACAGGCGGCTTGAAGTCCAAAACATTGACATAGAAAGTGTTGAAGATGACACTTCCAAAAATTCTCTCTACAAAACGATAGATGAAAAAACATATGCTGGAGATGTTGAGGCATTTTTCAACCCTAAAAACAGATTTCTGGCGGAGTACTCAACGTACCTTGTTGACAAATTGACGTCTCTTGGCGCAACATTCAACATGAAAATACAAAAACATATTCACACATTTAATGTTATTCAATCAGTCACATATGACGGTCTTACTTTTTCAGAAAAAGACGTTTTGAGAAAAGGATTCTTTATTAATAAAATATTGGTCAAAAGAATCAAGGACAACGCATCACAAGACAAGGCTGTGTTATTCCCAAAAGACTTGGAACTTATGTCTATTATCATCAATGTGTAATTGTAATTATATTTTTAATTTGTTTAATTATTTGTTTAGTTGTTTAATCTTGTACCAGTCATTTAATACATTTAATTATTTATAATTATATTATGACAGGTTTCGCATTTCGGTGGTTTTAAATAATGAGTTTTGATCTTGAACTTTTTCAATTTTCGGTTTTGTGACCAATTAAGCTTTGTATATTAAAAACAAACATAATAAAAACTAGTTGTTTGTAGTATTTTAATATACATAAAGTAACAAAATTTTAATCAATAATTTAAAAACAATTTTTTGATAAAAATAACAAGAATAACCAAAAATTACACGAAGTATTTTGTATGATTTAAAAAAACTATATTAAACTAAAAATGAATAATAAATCCAGAATAAATGTACTATACATTTATAATTTATAAACTAAAAAAATTGGTATTATCAAACAGCAAAAAAGTTTTTAAGTTTGTGAATTTGAAGAGCGACGAAAAAGGAGTGCAAATGGAATTCGAGTTATAAGTTATAATTAAAGAAATTAAAAAGAACGAATGCAACAAGTGTGAAAAAAAAAAGCAAAGACCGAAAAGGCGAAAGAGAAAAAACGAAAAATATCGAAAAAAACATGAGAATTCAAGAATAAAACTGTGAAAACAGAAAATGCAAGACAAGCCCAATCTTCAATGTAGCTGTTGTCTATGTCAAAAAAGTCGTTTATTCCAACTTGCAAATCCAAAGATTAAAACGACAAAGTTATGTGTTTTAATCTTAAAATCGTTGAAAATGCTTCACCCGGAACTTGAATGTTTTTCGATCAAGACGGACATCGCAGATTTTATTAAAGATCACTGGGGGCTTTTGATTAAACTGAAATTGTGTTTGTTTATATTACATACAATATAATTAATTTATATCTGCTTGAATAGAATGACCCTAAGTTCAGTCCGTCCAATATAAAAAGAGTCTTTTAGACGCTCTCAACCACTGTCCACAAATCGAATGTGGAAAGGATTTTTGCCACGACCGCGGTTATTACAGGCTGAAGGAGGGAAGCTCCGCAAAAGACAAAAGTGACGACAAAGACGAGCTCCTCCCAAAAATTAAAACACCGAAACAAGAGAAAGAGTGTGTCGTGGGGAGCGCAAAAAATGAGATTCAAAATCTAACACTAAATGCCCCGCCACAGCGTGGCGGGGAAAATAGTGTAGAAGAGAAATTGGAAGTCAGTAAGGAACTGTATAGCTGCTACGACGACCTACAACGACAAGTCAATCAGGGAGTTAAAGTATTTAGTTGTTTATACGGGAAATATTTAGCGAATTTGGATGTCAAAAGGAGTGATCTTGTTCGAGATATATTAGAACATCAGACCGAATTGTTCCACCTTTTTGGAAAGAGGAAAATGGAGTGGTGTACATTCAACTAAACACTCCAATATTGTCAAATTACTTTCATCACTTTTTTATTCATTCTTCTCATTTCTTTTTTTTTCGTTTTGGCAATAAACCGAAATTAATTATTTGTTGCATGAAATAATATTAATTACTACAAATAGAGATACTATTATGTTATTAATTAAGTTGTTATTTGTATTGTAACTGATTTTACCATTTTGATTAGTAAGTAAAATAACAAACATTTTAGAAAATTGACTTTTTTATATGTATAGTTCATTGGTTTAATATAATTATTAAAAATAATTGGTTTTCTTTGGGCTAAGGTTCGTTTCCTGGGTTTAATAGGACTAACTGTAATTAAAAGTGCTTATTGATATTTTTTACAGTAGTATATAAATCGTGCTGATTTCCTGCACTCGTTCCTTCAACAGTAAATCCTCACGATTTCGCTAAGTTTGTTTAAAAATGATGATTATTTCTACAATTATTTTAAAAATTTATTATTCCTAAAGTAAAATGATTTACTGTAGGAGGAATGAGTGCAGGAAATCATACGATTCATATACTACTATTAAATTGAATATCAATTTGAAAAATACAAAAAATTAAAATATCTAATATATTTTAAGTTTTTCAACAAAAAAAAATTTATTGTCAAATATTTAAATATTTTTTTAGTTAACTTTTAGTTACAAAAGGAGTCTTGTATTTTGATCAACATTGACAATATTATTGAGAGGTTTAGTTTTATTTAATAGTTTTGTACTTATTAAGTTTAAATATCATCATTGTAAACTTATATTATTATTAGTAATAAAAATACTATATATTTATTATTTAAAACAAAAAAAAAATAGTACAACCAAAAACCACATCAATAACATTCGTTGAAGTTGACCAAATTGTAACTTACAACTTGACATAATGAATAGTTTTAATGGAAGTTTTAGTTAAAAACTACTATTTGACCAATTATGTTGTATCTAAGTTTTTGATAAAACCAAAAACCGTTTGTTTTTGTATTTATGATAGCGAACTTTCAACACCAAAAGTGTTTAATTTTTATGGAATTACGATAAAAACAAAATAATTTCAACAAATCTAGACTTTTTTTAGTCTTTACCATTTTTCTCAATTTGCCTTCAAAAATCAATACTCTCAATTCTATTCAATAAAGATTGCTTTACAAGTTTTATTATAATTATAGTACAGTGAATTACATATCAAACAAGATACTTCTAAGTTTTTTTTTTGTTGACAAAACAAAAAACGTTAAATAAGAATAAATTGGATGTTATTATTGCAAGTAATCGGGATGATCAGCAATAACAATAAAAACAAAAAACCGAATTACTATGTTTTGTCAAAGCAAGTCAGTTTTTTGGGTGTTTCAACTTTTTTTCGGGTTTTAATCAAATTCCCAAAACTTGATTAATTTTACTCCCAAATTACGCAAACTTGCACTTTTGGTGAGTATCACACATTGTCTTAAATAAGCCAAAAAACACTTAGAAGTTATAGAAAAAAAACTCTGATATGAAATAATTATAGTTATTTATTTATTATATTTAGTAAATTACACAAGTCAAGAGGGGTCAACCTCAAAAGTTCCATTGATTTAAAAACCGTTTCCAAAACTCTTAAAGCACAGATATGAGTGTGCTCGAAATGACAACGTCTGAGATTATGAGAAATATTACTCCTGTTGTAGTCCAATGTACACATCGGGACACTGTTCGCGACACTATCGACTCCGTGGAATATAATTGTTTTATTGACACGATATATAAAGAATTATTCGGGATGAACACTGTCGTCTCTACAGACTCGGCGTAGGACTTCTCGTCTTGTAATGTTATTTATTTGTCTCTATCATTTGTTCTATCGATTGACTCTACTTTAAATTTATAGTATATAATTATTATAATATACTATAATACTGATAATTATTTGAATAATAGTATTATAATATAAAAAGAAAGAAATTCCATAATCCAAAACACCCAAATTATCACGTAATTTGAATTATCGAAATTAGTTCAAAAGAGTATCGAGAACTTCCTTTTTGGTGCCTTGGTCGACAGTCTTGTAGAGATCTGTTGACAAATATCTTTCACCGCATGATGGCACAATCACAACGATAGTCTTTCCTTTATTTTCAACTTTGGTCGCTTCACGAAGACCAGCAAGAATAGCTGCACCAGAAGACATACCAACCATGATACCATCATACTTCACAACTAATCGCGATGTCTTCCAAGCGTCTTGCGTCTTAATTGGGATGATCTCATCGACTATATCCTTCTTATAAATGGTTGGCACAAACCCAGCACCGATGCCTTGAATCCCATGTGGACCTTTTGGCTTACCCTCAAGAACAGCAGATTCCTCAGGCTCGACAGCAATCACTTTGACGTTCTTCTTCTGTTTCAAGTTCTCGCCAACACCAATAAGAGTTCCAGAGGTACCAACAGCTGAGATGAAGATATCGACTTTACCGTCAGTGTCTTCCCAGATCTCTTGAGCTGTGAATGCATGTGCTTTGGTGTTATCGGGATTGTTGAATTGATCCGCTACAAAGTACTTCCCTGGGTTCTCTTTGACCATATTTTCCGAGTGAGCGATCGCTCCCGGCATCCCAAGTTTCCCTTCAGTTAGAATTAAGTTCGCGCCAAAGGCCTTCATGATTTGTTGTCGCTCAACAGACATGGTAGATGGCATCACTATGTTCACTTTGAACCCATAAGCAGCACCTACTTGGCACAACCCAATCCCAGTATTCCCAGAAGTGGCCTCCAAGATCTCCATCCCTTCTTTCAAGCGCCCATCCTTTAATGCTTGGTAGACAATGTTAAGTGCAATTCTATCTTTTACGGAAGACATTGGGTTGAAGAATTCCAATTTCACGAGAACGGTAGTGCCAGGTTGAATCTTAGAGTGGTCGGTGACACCATTCAATTTGACTAAAGGAGTGCCTCCAATAGTCTCAAGAATGTTGTTATACACTCTCTTGCGTGGTGCAGATATCGTGATGTTTTCGCCAATCTCCGCCATTTTCTGAATGAACAGTTAAGAAGTTCGACATTTATATAGTGTGTTTCAGCAGTATTCTCAAAGAAGTTTTTAACTTCTTTATAAAACATAATTCATTTTATAGCTTTTTACTATTACGGTATAGCTTGAAAATACTATGATAATGGAATTTACCAATATTCGTGCTTTCGACTGTCGTTTTAAGTCACCACAAGACACTTTTGAGGTTTTTGTAGTTAAATAGTTTCTTCTTAATGTCGCCGAGTCATCAGAATTCAGTTAATTTATTATTTAATAACTATATAAATATAGTATAAATACTATAAAAAACTATTGTTTAGAGTTGTTCAACAATAAATGGCCAATAAGAGCACATTTTGTCAAGATCACAAAAAAAGGTAAAGAACTTTTCAAAAAGTGTCCAGGTGTGCGGTTTTTTCGTGATAATTTTTGTGGAAAAAACTGGTGATCCAATTTGAAATAATAGTGGTCTTGTGTTCACTTAAAGAATGGGAATTTTGCCTGTAGTTAAACACATTTTGCATTGAAAAGAAGTAACCACCTTTTTCATTTTATTTCGAGTCAAAATTGAATTTGTTGTAACTTCCTTCAAATTTGAATAAAAGACAAATTTAATGTTTATAGTAAAAATATATTATACAATAACATTTGTTTTCGAAATAATTATTACTCATTTTTTTGTTTATATTTCTTTGTACAAAAGCACAGTTGTACATTGAAAAGAGAGTCTTATCGTTTTAATTAAAGATCAACCACTCAAAATGAACAAATTGAGGAGAGAAGAAAATTAGTATCAGCAATATTATCTTCCAAAAATACATCCCATTTGATTTATTGGGGCAATTAACCCGATTATTTCAGTATTGATATCATAACTCATTTTTAATTGAAAAAAAAAACAATTTTTGCACCTTATAGTTAAAATAAGTGAAAATGATGTAAAAACTCAAGAATGTGTTTTTTGTGGTATTAAGAAAAAATAATAGTAATATAATAGTAATATAATAGTAATATAATAATAATATAATAGTAATATAATAGTAAATTTAGTAATAATATTATTAGTATAAAACAATAATAAATGTAAAAAACATATAACTTTTGTTGATTCTTATTTACCGAAATTAGTCACCAATAGTTTTTCATCCACCTTTTTGATTTTTTGTTCCCCGCTCTCTACGAATGTTTGACAGAAGAAACACCAATGATTGAACATGAATGTCTTTTGGACGTCAGGAAACTCATTTTTGAAATTAAGGAAGAAGAATTTGGAAGCTCTACTATGTTTAAGTTCATAGCTGTATACGAAATAACAATCTTCGTCTTCTACCGTCTTGACGACAATACTTGTACTAGTTAATAAGACTTTGTCCTCTCGGTTTTGTTCCGTGGAACGGCACAAAAAATGATTGAAAGCTTCCATAGATAACACACCTCCCACCTTCTTATGATTCACTTGTTCAGGGTCATTTCCAATCACGACCAACGGTTCAGACCCATCGGTATTAAATACTTCAGTCTTTGTCCCCAAACAACACTCTTCGTATGGTTCTATAATGAACTTCACTCGACCATTAGAAACTCTGTCCACCACACTAGCACCAACTTCGTCTTTATGGAGTTCAATTTCTTTCTTTTGCTTGTCACCACTGAGGTTTGCATCAACCGTTGAGACATCAACACCATCTACAAAGAGCGACGCCAAGTTACATAATATCATCTTTTCACGACGCGCAGCATGGAGTGCGTTCTGATAGGCAACATTTGTATTGTATTCACTAGCAGCTTGTGTCAACAGTGAAGCCTCCTCCAAATAGTCCATATAACTCTCGTTATAC